GTTGGGGCTGCTTATCTGGGCAAGGTCATGCTGACACGTCAGTCGCAAAAAAGCTCTGGCCTCGATCCTGAAAGTTTCGAAAATATCGTCCGCAACTCCCTCTCTGGGCTGTCCGTCTCCGCAGATGAGACGTTGCATTCGACCTCTGTCGAGCGAGTCAACAGCACTGGCTTCACAGCCGCAACGATGCCTATCATCGTACTACAGCCGCCGCCTCCGGGTCCTCACGTCCGCGATAGACCGAAGACGCGTCGACGCTCTGCGACGGCCAGCGGTGCCGAGATCAAGACAGCTGCTTCTCTCGATACTTTAACTCCAACCCTCCAAAGTCTGCATGAAGCAGGGCCACTCGACCAGCAAGAAAGCCTCGAAGGTGTTGAAGAGGCCCTAGCAGCTTTGGAAGAAGGAGCCAAGCTTTTGACAGGTGACTGCGACTCAAGCAGAATTCTCCAACGTCCTAGATCTGGCACGATAGCTGGCCTTGTCGAGCCATCGAGTAGAAGATTTAGTACACAAGCGGAGGACTTCCCTTCTAGTCCTTGCACCTATTCCGATCCTTTGAACTCCTCTCAACACTCCCGAGCTGAAAGCTTCTCGAGCGACCTGAGCGTGCCGAGCTCGATGAGCTCTGCGACCACACTTCCGCGGCTAGCAGCTGCGGAGGACCAATCGGAACACATCTTGATCGATGCCCCCGACGGCGGACAGCTAACTCCTACTGCTGCCGGCTACTTTACGAAGGAGCAAGAAGAGAAGATTGACGAGCTAAAAGAGCTGGCTGACGAGCAAACTCGCGGTTTGGTCCGTCTGGCAGCTGTCGATGAAGATCTGTTTTACGTGAGTATTGCAGGCGTCCCTATGATGAAGTGTTCTGACTGACCACGATCACGCTTCGAGATCAGGTGTATGCTGCACTTCTCGAGGTGAGTCAATTCAATCTGACGATGCACTTCTCCAACCGCCGCTGCGCTCACCATCTTGGCCTCACTCACTACAGGAACGTGATCGACTTGCTTCGTATCTCCTCTGACGCATATCAACGCGGACACGGGCACCACCGCATCCAGACCTCTTCTTAAGTCTGCATGACCTCTCCCTGTTCTCCATGGTGCCAGTTCACTTTTGATCGGTGCTATTCTCGCTCTGCAGGGCACTGTAGCTCGTTGCAGAGCTTCCGGCCATTACACACGAAAGATTGCGTCATGATGTCAGAAAGATGCCATTGCTGTAGATGTGTTTACTGGTGAGGCCTTCTTCACTCTGATTTCTCTTGTGAGCCATTGCCGTGGAAAGGATGAGCGACGACATTGAACCAAGGAATTGTGCCTTTTCATAATCGAAAGGGTGAGAGTCGAACGTGATCAGCACCACAGCACTTCTCAACCATGCACTGCCTCTTGGACCATGCTCATCCGATGCGCGACTTACTGAATTTGAGTTGACTGAATGCGCTGTTCCTGTGAGCTACGCTCTGCAAGTGAGAGTCCAGACTGCTCTTGCTGGGGTCTGTACCGTACGGCTTCTCGTCTGACTTTGCTCTCTCCAGCTCCAGACTATTCTCTGACCAGCCCCATAGACGGACTGAAAAAGGCGTCGTGCGAAGGCAGATGCGTTAGTGCTGCTGTTCGTGAGAGTTCGCGCTGGCCGAGGCGCCTCTCTGCCGTGTCATCTAGGGTGCCACCTGTACGACGAACAGCGACAGCTGGATACAACAAGCCAAGCGTGGTTTTTGTCCTCACTTGTAGCTCCTACCAAGGCCCCCTCCCAAGGAAAGAAACTCACAGCTGCTCCTCTGATAGGCAAACAAGAAACCACCGCAAGCACCCAAGAAGGTGGCCAATCTGAGTGCCGATCCGATGCCTCTAGGGCTCCTGGTACTGTCTACCTGTTCCATGAAGTAGAGACCAAAAGGCATCGCAGCTGTCGCGCCTCCCCACCAAGCATAATCGGATGGCCTCATGTATTGCACCACTCTGGCAAAGTGTGGATCCGCATCGATCAAAGGATGGGGTGTGGACAATTCTCGGATGGCTAAGAGTACGAGGAGGTACTTCGATGTCAGCTGGGTTTGCTCGTCAAAACGTCTGCGGTGCTGCACTGGACATCATGTGTAAATGTGAACCTCGACACGAGTACTCACGCATCGTAGTTCAAGAGTCCACCTTTGGGTGGTGAGAGGGGCAGTGCCAATCTATCTAGTGTCGGGCCGGAGGCTCAGTGGAGCTTGTTTGTTGGAGTAGCTAGCGCACAGTGCCTAGTCCTTGAATCGTGGATGTGGGAGAGGATGACAGGATGCTGGGTGCAGCAGGATAGCGAGTCGTGCGTAGTATGCTTGACTATGCGTGCCTCGACACTTGTTCCAGGTCGATCGTCTCGAGCCCGTGCGTTTGGAATCTCCAAGTCGAGATT